ACACCGTTAAGCACCAATCAAACTGAAAAATTATCAACAACAACTGAAATGAACGAATTTGATGAAAAGTAAGATGAGAAGAAACAAACATTGCATTACTATTTTATTCTGTATTTTTTTGCTTCTATTCTAGATTAAAACGACGTTTAGAACAATTTGAACAAGAGAGACAAGTACAACGACAAATAATGACAAGATTACAAGAAAGAAAAGAAGCTGATATAGAAGCTCGCCTACGACGAGATCGAGTATGAACAAAGAAATCGTTGTGACTTGAGTTTAACCATATTTTTTTAATTTTATTCAAGGATCGTCAAGTACGTGTGGATCGTGATATACGTGATTTAAAACTAAGACGTATGTCAGAAGAAGAACGTTCATTAGAAGCAAAAAAAGAACAAGCACGACTATCAAAACATGTTGTATGTTTTGTCATACTGTTTCCTTTTGATTTAAACACTCACATCTTATCATTTTTTAGCGTTTACCTGATTCTCCTCCCTCGTCACAGCAACAACAAGAGCATGAAACAACAATGAAGCATTCAATATCAGCTAGCCATATTCCACATACAACAGGATCTTCCTCCTCGTCTTCTACTATAACCTCATCATCAGTCAAAACAAATGGTTCATCGTCTACAGTTATCAATCGTGCACAATATCAGATGGATCAACAGCAGAAACCTTCAATGACGACTAATGGTAAAATAAAAAAAAAGTGAATTTTCTTTAGTAACGGATATTCTCATATTGTTTGTAGTTTCGACCGAAAAAGTAGCCATCTCACCTCCACCTCCACCACCACCACCGATTCGAGATGTTTCCTTTGCTGTAACAAGTAATTTGAAAAATACATTTTTACAACGACCTTCAACGCAATTACCAACAACCCAACATCTTCAGAAGTAAGTACAAAGACGTCAAAGTGTTTTTTTTTTTGTTTGATAATTGAAATTAGACTTGTGAGATGATGAAAGCTTTACACGATTAGAGCCAACAATGGGAGAACTTACAGATCCGCTACGTTGATTTTAATATTTTCCTATTGTACCTGATACCGGCATAGTAAATACCAGATGCGTTGAGAATAGACCCTACAGCTTGCTCTTCCTTCCATTAGCAAATTTTGTCTTATTTTCTCTTTCAGTGGACGCGATCATCCATTATATCGTGAATTGAGCCCTCCCATGCCATCTCCACCTCCTCTGGTTCCTGATCAAACATCGCAACAATCAAATAATAATAATAATGTCGTTGATATTCCTGTATCATCACTGGATGCTGTTGAACGCATAACAGCTGAATTAGTTCGACGTGATGATCTATTTAATTATGATTCAACAACAAATGTTCCAAGTGTTATTGGTGCACAGGAATTTTATATTGATCCACGTACACGTGCAAAAAAAGGAAAACAATCACTTATACAGGATAATAAAGAGAATTTAAGTGGTGAAACAATGACATTTACACAAAAATTAAAATTTTTTACACAAGAAAAACAAAACCAAAATGAGGATGATAATTAAATAAATGAATAAGAAGAATGTATCGGCTTTTCTATGTACATAAATGATTTTTATTGCTCATTTAAACGAATGAAAACTCAAAATAAGATATTGCTGTCCTTTGTTGTTAATGGACTGGTCATTCTTGTTTTTCTCTTGTGCAATGTTTTAATCTTGTCTTATTCTTATTTATCTTTCTAAACTTTTTTATGTAATGAGAATGTATCTTTTACCAAGAAAGTATGTTGTCACATCTTAATTCCTTTTATAGTGAGTGGGGGTTTTTCCTTCCTTACGTTAAAATACCTAATTTTTGCACATTTTATAATTTTTGCTGTTCTTGTTATCTGAGCAGTAGCATACTAACTTTTTGATTAGCTTCTACAATAGTAGCTAACTCTTGATCGTTTTGTTAATAAAGATATCCTTATTTTCTCAATTGATTTTATGATTCTCAGGCTCTCTTGCCACAATTTTTTTGTTGTTTCTTGTTGTAGCAACGATCTTGTTTTTGGTAGATGCTTTTTTTTTGGTCTATCTTATTATATCTCATTATCACTTAGATTTACTCAATCTTATATTATTAATCTATGTTATTGTTTTTTACGAATTTGTTGTTGATGGATTTAGAATTTTGTTTTCTTTTTTTTTTCGAAAAATATTAATTGTTTGTACATTTGTATTCGGTCGGTTCTTTTCTATGCTAAAAGAAAAAGCCTACATACGATTTTCTTTTAACAACAATTATTTGTTGAGCAAAATGACGATGAGTGCACAAATCTATCAAATAAGTCTATCTGCAGTGACGTGAAGAGGTTGAAATCGAATTTTTTTGTACTAGAACAAGAATCAATTTGAAATGAGAAACCAGTATCCAATAATAGGGAAAAGACTGTACGATTAGATAGAGTCCACATTTTGAGACATTGATCAACACTTTTGAAAATTTGTGAGAAACATAGATAAAACAGCTGCTCTAGACTTCTTTTCAATCTATTGTAAGATCAAATTTGTTTCAAGAAACGCACAGTCCACACTAGGTCTGTGGTAGATCATCGTTCATGGAACTAGTTCCTCGATAATGAAAACTACTTTTTAGTTCTGATTTATTAAACGGGAACTGTTTCCCTAGTTTTTATTCTAGAACTAGGGACGGTCGCCAGTTCACGTTCATAGGAACGAGGAAAAATTCACCAGTTCTGGTTTGTTCGAATGGGAACTACACTTGTTTTTGCACAAGAAAGTGCTGATGCTCTCGGTCTTGGTGCTCTGTTAGTTTATTATTATTGTGTTCAAATAGCGAACATTTTGAGAAGGCGACCGTTCATAGTTCTAGAACGGAAACCATGAACTGTCACAGATCTAGTCCATACAGTTCACTCTGAACGAAGAAACTGGAGAATTTAGATATTTCTACAGTAAAAATTGATCTTTCGCAAATTAATTTTAATCTAATGAGAATTTTGAAGAAGCATACATCTTTTATTCTGTTCATAAACACTCAACAATCTTGTTGATTTCGGCTAAAACAAAATTTAATTGAAAGACCGATTAAAAAACATCTTAAAGAAACACTAAATCCGAGCGTAGTTTTGATAGTACTACTTTTTCTTCTTCGAATAATAAGCGTGCAAATGTTTTACCGCTCTTGATTTCTATGCCATCTTCGCTCTATAATCATAATATTTCATGTTTTTCTCCGGCTGTACGTACAACACAACTATAAAATACCAATATAACTATTCTCAATGGGTATTATATACGAAAACCACGAGTAAAAATATATTTAGTTTAACATACACGTCATATTATTAATCATCACGCCGATAATAAATAAATATATACAAAAGTAACATCAGAAAAAATAATCCTGCAAAAATTCAAAACAGAATCAGCCCTATCTGCTTTTCTCCTACTCACCATTCAATGACTGAAAATGCTTTTTTTCTTCATCTAACCAACATATGAAGGGTGTCCCAGAAGTCCTGACACGATTTGTATAATAAATTTTTCTATAGTGAAATAAGTGGTTGTAAATTCGTCTCTATGAACAAAAGATGCAGTAAAACACGCTTTACAAAATGACTATTGATTGACTCCGCTAGCTCATATAGTAAGAAAGTTATAGGCTTAGAAACGTTTCTCATATAACGGGTGTACGATAAATAATGTCGATCTCGGCCATTTTGCTTTAACCCCTGT